AAATCTGCTGCATAGTGCCAGCTTTCAGCCTAGAAAACAAAACAGACTGTTAGAGGCTATATTGTATTTATGATTTGCATCTCTAGATAAACCACCAATCACCACAGATCAAACAGCAACGTAAGGACCCATTTGGCATGTGTTGCTGCTGAACACTATTAAACATATTCTTGGTGACCACGGTTTATGCTTGATGTGTCAGCAAGATTTAAGGCTCACTAATTTCTAAATGTTCATGAGCCTCCAACACAGTAGAAGCTGACTAGAATTGTACTACAGCAACAAAAATACCTAACCTCAGCTAGGTCTGACAACAGCATTACACCTATACAGAAGTTTTGAAAGCTTACACTAGAGATGGATTCGGAAAATCATTCATATAATCAAAGCAGTGAAACAATTCTGATGCCTTTTAAAGCGACTTTGGTCTAGAAAAATTGAGACCTCTGACAGCTCAGCTGAGGACATTTGATGTTTGTTTACAAAGCAGAATAATGTATTAACATCATCGGAAAAGTTCAAATTTACTCCAAAACCTGCCGAACAACTCTGGACTATCATTTCATAGCTAACACACAAGTGCTGCCAAAGCAGGGATAACTTTGTGGAAGAGCAATTAATTGGTTTACTTGCAAATACTTTACTGAAGTCAGTACAAGAGACAACTAGGAAATAATAAGAAACACAACTTCCAGTAAAGTCCCCACAAGTATTGATCAAAGACCAGAATTTTAAGCCAGGGCTATCTTAAATTTTGGTGCAAGCTGTCTTCACTGGGTGATACTGGATGTACAAGTACAGCTGACTAGTTCATCACACAAACTTCAAACACACCTCTGGTTCATTTAAAAGGCACAGTACAGTCAAAAATGTCAAGCTTCCATCACATGAAGTGTTGATTAGAGATGAATTCCTGAGTGTACACTCGTTACATTAGTACATACAAAACCTCATCAGTCAAATGGTTCACTGAACTGAGAAACTTTAGTGAGGACATGGCAGGCAAAGAATAATTATTATAAAGGCTGACTGTTATTTACTGCCTGTGTGTCTGAGGGTGATGGCAAATGTCCAAAAAAACTTGTGTTCCCATATAGAAGCTTGCTTCTTGCTAGCTGTAACCAGCAATGAGCTGGTTGTAAAGCTGGTTAACCCCTGGATTAAAGAGATGGTACTTACCAAATCCTCAAATTAAAGAGACAGAGCTACCAATTCATTGCATTTCTCAATACAGACTATTTAGACAGGAAACAGGGCTGGATTGGGAAGACCCTAGAAATGAAGAAAAGCCTGGAAACAGGGTAGACCTACAGCAACATACACTTAGGGACTGGCCAGGCATCTTGGCCTGTGATCCCTAAGCCTGCATGCAACATGCAAGCAGCTACATGCCAAGAAACCAACACCTTCCTGCTATTCTTGCCCAGAGAGAAGATAGAACGGATACAACTCTGCAAAATTGGTTATTTCAGCCCAATCTTACACCAAGAAAGATTAAGAAATCTGTACATGATACAGTCAAAGAAGGAAGTGATAATTATCACTGGTTAAACCTGAAGCTGAAATATGAACAAAACTCACAAAAAAAGAACATCTGAGCAGTTACCTTTATTTAAAATTAGCTCATGTAAGTTTTCCACCAGGACATCCACCAAGAAGTACACTAACTTCTTGATATCCTCTGGGTGCAGCTTCCAGACAGTCAGCATCAGGTTCCACTTCTGAGTTACTTGAATATGTTAAAAATAATTACTTGCAAATTTCCCTAACAGTCATGTCCAAGTAGTGTTTAGCTAATTCTAGTCAAAGGGAGCTCAGACCACCTAATCAAGTTTCAGCACCTGAACACATCTCTGCCTGTTCAGATGTCTCACTAGTAGCAAACAGAATACTATTAGTTGAGTAGACTTTACTGCCTATTTGCGGCTTACGATCAAGCTACATCAGGCGCTCTTCCAGGTTGCTACATAAACATGTATATTAGTGGAGCAGTTGGCACAGAAGGCTTGTTACAGGAATAAACAATACTCAAGTGTTGTAAGAGTCCAAACATCAGTTCCCTGTGTTCATGCATTAACTAAGCAACTCACCGAAGAATTCCTGAAATACTGAAACTGAATTAAAATTCATAAGTTCCTGAGAGCCTGCTGTTCTGAAATACTGCAGGAAGAGGCAGACTGTTTTTGAAAAAAATGAACAGAAACCTGTCAGGTTTAAGAGTCTGCAAACATGTAAGCAGAACATTGCATTAATAATTCCCCTATATTTCAATAATTATTTAACAATCAGTCTTACAAAAAGATGACCTAAGTTACATTTCCATGTGCTTGCATGGACTATGATTTCCCTCAGGTAACATTAGAAGTTGAAAAACTTGTAAACATTTTCTCTTCCAGAGTCTGTCAAAAGATATCTGAAGATATTTTTCAGCCTTAAAAACATAACCAGTAACTACATAGCTGAAATAACATTACTTTACAAAGACAATATGAATGACAAAAATATTTATTAACTGTGTTTATATAAACATATTGACTTGTAAACAAGTTGACAACACATTAAATATTGAAAGAAAACTTAGAACCAATTTGCATTAAAGAGAAAAATAAGTTAAAAATAACAACATCTTAATTATTCCATTGGTTATTTCTAAGTCAGGCACCTGGCAGTTTCAGAACTGAAGTGTACTAAAACACTGCAACAAAGTTGAATATTGTCTTTTACACCATAATGGATTCCTTTGATAGAGCAAAAGCCACCTCATAGTCACCTAAGGATTCCCATGGTAACTCAGTGGGGTTAAGAGTATGAAAGTGACTTCATTCTTCACAGACTGGGAACTCACCCCTTCAGTAGGTACTTCTGGCATACTTTAAGGACAGTCTTTTGTTAGGTATAGTTTTACATGGGAACCCCAGAAATGCCAGCAAAACTAATGAAGTTAATTTACATCCTTCTGAAAGTGTAAGCTTCATCCAAATCTCTCTAGTAATGTTTACATCAGCTGTTTTTCAGGATTTCAGCAAGTTTTATTTATGAGCTTGAATTAGAAAAGTCAACAAGTTAGGTATGGAAGCATTTAAGAAAACAAGTTAACAGAAAAGCATAGTGAATTATGAAATAGTTACAACAGTTCTCAGATTATACATCAGAAAGTAACATATACATTTATTCATAAAACAATATTTTCTATATTATTAAAACCCAGCTTCAGTATTTGTTCTGATATAACAGAGACACTCAGAAAGTGATACTCAGTTTTTCCACCCCTTTAAGTGAGTACACTTATTTCCTCTGTTTGTACAGTGCAAGGATGCTTATTTGGATACAAATTCCACATGGATATGACTTTCAACATAACTTCAAACTACATTTCTCCCTCTTGAAGGCAAAAGGGTATCAGTGGTAATAAACAGACAGTTCATCATCGCTTATGTCTGAATCATCTTCACCCACTTCACCTTCGATGACTGATTTCTTGCCTTTGCAGCATGAAACAACTAATCCAATTAAAAAGACCTGCAAATTTCAAAAGTAAAAAGTTACTATTATTCAATTAAAGGGCAGACAAGGGCAACAAATTTAAAACGCAACAGCCATATGGTTTGCAAATGATTCTGTGGCAACTACTGTAAGTTATCCAACTTGATTCAGCAATCTCTACAATCCAAGTACTTACTGCAATGAATGCCCAGTTCCCAAAGTAATAGGCAGCACTGAAGAACCAAAATTTGTGAAGAAAGAGGTACGTCCGAGTAACAATGCACTGATCTAGAAGGAAAACAAATAGTACTGATCAGCACAAAACAAAGAAGTCAGCTAATTCCAAGCTCTGCATTTCAGTAAGGCTTTTGATACTGTCCCTCACAGCACCCTTCCGGTCAAGGGACGAGCGGATCCACAGTGCGCTGGGTGAAGAACTGGCCGAAAGGCAGAGCTCAAAGAGCCGTGAATGGGGCTATATCTGGCTGGTGAACGGTCACCAGCAGTGTTCCTCAGGGTTTAATTCTTGGGCTGGTTCTGTTCAATATCCTTAACAGCTATCTGGATGCAGGAGTTGAATGCAACATTATCAAGTTTGCTGATGATACCAAACTGGAGGTGCTGTTAATGAAGAAGAAACCTTGCAGGGGGAGCTAGACAGATTGGAGCACTGGGCAAGGATTAACAGGATGAAATTTAACAACTCCAAATGATGGATTCGCCACCTAGGATGGAATAACACCAGGCCCAAGTATAAGCTGGGAGAGGAGTGGCTGGAGAGCAGCCCTGCAGAAAGGGGTCTGGGGGTGCTGCTGCCTCACTGTGAGTCCACAGCCTGCCCTGGCAGCTGGGAGGGCAAAGCACATCCTGGGGCACATCCAACAGCATAACCAACTGGTCAAATAGGGGATTATCCCACTGTATTCAGTGTTGGTGCAGCCTCACCTGGAGTTCTGGGCCCCTCAATTTAAGAAGAGTGTGAATGTCCACCACAAAAGTGGTGAAAACTGGAAGGAATGTCCAGTAAGGAGTGGGCTGAGCACTTTGGGCTTGTCAGCTTTGGAGGAAAGGAAGAGGAGGAGGGGCAACTTCACTGTTTGCTACAGCTTCCTGAAGAGGGGACACTGAAAGGGAGGTGCTCAGCTGTTCTCCCTGCTACCCAGTGAAAAGACACATAGAAATGGTTCAACGCTGTGTCAAGGGAGGTTTACACTGACATCAAGAAGGATTTATTTACTTAGAGGGTGGTCAAACACTGAAACAGGCTTCATGGCCAGGCCTGGATGAGGCTTTGAGCAACCTGGTCTAGTGGAAGGTGTCCCTGCCCATGGCAGCGGGGTTGGAACTAGATGATCTTTATGGTCCCTCCCAACCCAAACCATTCTATGAGAAGTTTTTTAAAAATCAAAGTCAACTACAATGTTGAGTCATGTAGGCATAAATCCCCACCATGTACTGGGCCTTTTGTGACCCAGATAGCACACATCTTATCTGTGCCCTGACAGTACCAGTCTTACTCCTTCTCTAACACCATAAATACAGCCACATCTGAACATACTTAGCATTCTTTTCCATTACAAAGTGGCAGATTTTAACAGAATTAAGAATCAAAATGTCAAGGCATTTAAGATTGCAGACAAGCAGCATAAAGGCTTTTATGGGACACTGAGCCTGTAACATTCAAGAGGTCATGTCAGAGGGCAGCCAGCAAGACACATGAGCCAGCTGACAAGTCTCTCCAGTGCAAAGGGTGCACTGAGTTCATGCTAAGCTATAACGTGATCTCCTCTTTCTCATTTACTATGCTTCAAACACCACCTAAAGCCTGCTTCAGAGCAGAAGCAGGTATCTGTAGTGTTCGAGTTCTTTAGAAAGTGGGCAACCTAGAATTTGTCTGTTCACTCCTCAGTTGTGACCCCAGGTTCAAAAATACCCTCCAGGTACAATCGAAGTACAGCCTTCTGACCTCCTGAAGTTGCAAGATGATGCTGCTTATATAGTTTAACTTTTAGCAGCCATCTAACAAGCTGACAATCATCAGTTGCTGAAGCTAAATATTTTATTTAAAGACTGAACTTCCACATTAAATAACTGCTCCTTTAACAATACCACATACTATAGCTCACTATTTCCTGGGGAGAGAAGTGTTGGGAGTTAAGGATAGGTCTTTTTCAGGAAGGTGTGCTGCTTGACCATGTCAAGATGATCCCTCCCAGTCTAAATCCCTACAGTGTCTAGAATGATTGTATCTAAAGAGAAAAAAATTCCATTCGTTCAACAGTTCAAGTAACTTACATTTGATAGAACTAACAGAATAATTTAAAATACTAAGTTAAATACTACTTTATAAAGCACATTCATTTCTGGAACCTGTTACACACTGTCAGATGACAAAAAAAGAGGTAAACTGGGATTTCACCACTACTAGACACATGGGATGCAACACACAACTAGGCACATTCTGCAGACAAAGTGCAAAAGAGTTCAATTAAAGAAAGCATGCTTCTCCAGTAACACATAGAGAATGAAAGCACAAGGAAGGATTTTGGCTGAATAATCCTTCCTGGTTTTCCAGACTAGATCTCAGTTATGATGTGAAAACTTATTCCCCCCACCCTCGCCCGTTAACACTAGTCAATAGTACTTAACCTACAAAAGAAAAAAAAAAGGTGAAGTAGCACACCACTCAACATTCCACGCTAGCATGACATATCCATAGAAAAAGTGAAGTTTCCAACAAAGTAAGAACTGCCGGTAAAGCAAAGATGCTTCATAATTGCAGATAGTATTGTCAACACCATCTGCAGCTCTCCAGCTGGTTACTTGAATTAAAAAACAGCTTAAAGACTTTCACATGGCTCTCTACAGTAATTGGATTAAATAGATGATAGTAAATATTTTAGAACAGTTTGACCTTGAGAAGATGTTTCCATGGGATGTCACAAGTTCAGTTAAATTCTAGTTATTCCTTCTGAACCAAGATATTACTAAATAGGCTGACATAATATGACATTTTTAATCAACTTATCCCTCCATATGATGTAATCTAGAGTAAGTTATAATGAATAACCTGAATTAAGATAGCTACTTCTTATCCAGAATGATCATTGTGAATATTACTGACATTTGGATCAAAAGTATAGGTGGAAAGCTACCAAGCCTCCAATAGACAACTGCCACTACTTTATGAATACAGCATAGGATCATAGAATCATAGAATGGTTAGGGTTGGAAGGGACCTTAAAGACCATCTAGTTCCAACCCCCCTGCCATGGGCAGGGACACCTTCCACTAGACCAGGTTGCTCAGAGCCTCATCCAGCCTGGCCTTGAAGACATCCAGGGATGGGGCATCCACAACATCTCTGGGCAACCTGTTCCAGTGCTTCACCACCCTCTCCGGGAAGAACTTCTTCCTGATATCTAATCTAAACCTCCCTGATTTCAATTTATACCCATTACCCCTTGTCCTATCACTATTACGATAGTGCATATTATGCATAGCATATTATGTAGTGCTGAGGAAGCAGGGCCAAACAGCCAGAATTCAAGACAAAACAATTTTTTAAAAACAAAGGATGACAAGTAGTAACAGCTGTGACTAACTGAAGAGTTAACTATATTTTACTTCAAGTCCACCAATGAAGTTTTTCATTCTAGTGAATTAGAAAACCCTTAGGCCCAATGTACTAATACTTTCAATCAAAGGATTCTTCCAAGAAGTGAATTAGATAGTTTAAAAATGAATTACAAGCATAAAAAAAAAAATCTCTTGGTAAACATATCTTAAAACCTAAAAAGTTATTTCATGCACTGAAAACTCACATTGTGAGAACTTATTTACAGATAATGAATTTCTGTCTTTTCTTCGTCTCAAAATACAGTCAGCATTCACAAAATAAAGAAAATAGTTTCTTCGGGAGGAGTTACAATTTGTTGGGAACAATGTATTTGAAAAACACTGGCATTCTTTGGGAGTCCATACTGAGATGCACACTTACTTTACTCCTTAATCAACTGGACAACGAAACAGATCAATTCCTCTGTAAATCTGTAGTCAAACTGGGGAGAAGAGGCCCAACACACTAAACAGCAAGATTCAGAGGGAGCCTGTTTTTCCAGCCCCTTGAAATAGTCCTCGAAGTTTAAGTGACAGAAGTCCTACACCTGGAACAAAGTGCCACAGCACAACAGTGCAGGCTAAGGGTTGACCAGATATAACACAACTTTGCGGAAAGTGACCTCAAGTGCTAGTAGGCAAACAGAACATGGAGTTACCAGTGTTCATCTACAACTCAAATGTAACTGAATGCCAGGTTTCACTAACAGCAGTACAGCCAACAGTAATCACTTCCTACTCTGACTGGAGCTGCATCTGCAGCAGTGCCATTTTGGGCTCCCCAGTAAGAAAGAAGCATTGATATACTGGAACAAGTCCAGCAGAGGACCACTGCAACAGCTGGAGCACATCACATACAATGAAGAGGTGTTTGTTCAGCTTGAAGTAAGATGTTTGCAGGTGTCTTACTGCTACCTAGTGAGGGCCTACACAGGTCAAGATTCTTCCCAGACCTACACAAAAGGTCAACAGATGACAGTTACAGCAAGAAATATTCCTCTTAGATGTGGGAAAACTTATCAGCAGAGTTAGAAGGAGGCTTCCCAAAGAGGTTTCAGACTCTGTATCTGGGGACACATTCACATCTGGATGGACCTCAGCAACCTGCTTTCCTTAACCATGCTGAGGGTCTGGACCAGACTACCTCTTGAGGTCTTATGTGTGCTCAGAATCATTACAGTGCACATTACATGAAGGTAGATATAGAGACAACAAAGATCTAACACTGAACATGGTATTTTGGACAGAAAACCAAAACTGAAAATAAGGATGTCCTCCACAAACCGATGACATTTACATGCCCAGTTTCAAGCAGAACCTAGTTTTACTTAAAATACACTCAAAACTACTTCTGAAATCAAAACCTGCAGCTTTACAGTGCCAGAGTAAGCATATTCCAAAACCTAAAAGCATTGAAAGCATGGCTTCAGGTATCCAAGAACACTGTTTCATGCAGCCCTGCTTCCAAGCATTCAAAAGCTGTGTTGCAAAAAGCAGCTGCTGCTTGCAGTCCAACTTGAGCTTCAAGGATTTGATATGTTTCTAAACTTAAATTATACATCAAATTCAAAAAGGTTTGGGATTTCATATGGGAAGGTGTAATTAAGGGGGAACTTGCATTTTGTCCTTACAGGGCCTGCATCTGGCTTCATAATTTAAATTACCTAAAT